TCCTCGAGGAAGTCGTATTAAAGTTAGCGCCGCTGCTCGTCTCTCCGTTTTCGAATCGGACTAGTTTTATTTCGACTGTTTCTGCCGTGCCACGATTCGTTCCCGGGATTAATTACTTTCATAGTGGAGCGTCGATAACGCGACAGCCTTTATAAGCCCGCAATTTGTTCGTCACGTTTGCTCCGAGGAAAAAGTCGAAGCTTATTTCTATAAATAAAACGTTCGATGTACGTAAGCAAAACATTTCTCTACTAACTGGAAGTAACAGGTGCAATGGTTAGGAAAAGTATTCGTACAGCATCGTACTTATTGTATCATTTATGTCAATTAATTAGTTCGAAGCGTATCTTTCGTGTAATTTGGTGTAGTAGATATTACGAAAACGCGCAGCAGTTGCCACAAGAAACGCTTCATCGAAAAATCCAAAATGTCTTTTGTACACACCGTATACTTCGTTGAATATGCATATCCACATCTCGCATCGAAGTATTGGCTCGCATCCGAGCTATTCCACGAATTCGTTTACCGTCGCGAATAAATAATTCAGCTGCGAAAATTCAATTTGTCTTTCTTCGCGTTTCTACGATTCCACGAAAACATCGATCCTTGTACGAAGCTTCTCTCGGTTCTTCCGGTTTGTCGCGCCTCTCCTACTCGAAAAATCCGATAAGGCAAAAGCTCGGTAACTCGGAGACTTTGGTTCTTCCTTTGAGATTCGAGTTACCGAGGCTGCGACAGGCAGCGGGCAATCGCGACACAGCGACGCGAACGAACGCGAAAGGGTAGAAGATCGACGGCAACAGCAATTCTAGTTTTGTTTTCTAGGCGAAACGAGAAAATAGCGGACGCTCGCGCGATACAAGATCGTCGAAGATACAGTCGAACTTGTAATTAAAGCTCGTCGGAGCAACGTAAACCGGCTGGCTCGGGATCGTGCTGCGAGTTTCCACACTTCGGGCTCTTTGATCCGCGCTCGGGATAACTCGTAAAAATCTTAAACGCCACATTTAATTAAATACCGCGTCGCAAGCGGAACGAGCCACCCTCTGTGCGAGGCAGCTGGCGAACAGAAACTATTAAGCGACTTTCTCCGCCGATCGGAAATCATTAGACCAACGGCAATTTAGCGATACGTCGACGTTCGATGATGAATCGATGTTCAGACGCTGATCTATACCGCCAGCCGCGAGCTTTCCGTCACGACTCGCGGTCCATTAATATCCGTACGAAATCGCTCGATGGATACTAATGACCGATCCTACCGAATTCGATCGGTCGAGTCTTGCGTCTGCTTTTGTTTCATCTGCTGATCGTTGATGGTTTGTTTCGGTTTGTTGCCACATTGTGATCTTTGCTTTGATAGAACAAAATGGATCATACGCAATTCGATAAAATAGTATAAAACGGAAAATGTCGTGCATCCATTATTTCCTTACAAAAGGAAAGAAACTTTTCCGACATGGAACACGCTTCTCAAAGTGCTCGTAACAATTTAGAAAGCGGAATTCCGCTGAAAATCTACACTGCGGTCTCGTTGAAACCCTGAAACATATTCCAACCGAAGAATCAAAGTTTTTCAATTTTCTCACTTATGAAACGCTCTTGCACGAGCGCGCTCTTCGATTATTCCGCGTGCAACCGCAGTCGCATTGTCACAGTGAAAGAGTATCGTTCCGGTTCGCGCGGTAGATACGATCGTGTCGGCGTATACGAACCGAGTCGCCTCGGTCGTTTCTGTCGTTGGTACAGCGGAGGTACGCCATTAAGCTGGAATTCAGGTGTATTAACGATGCCGGTTACTCGCGACAGGTACGTATCGAGCGACCGTGGCCACCCGGTAGCGCTAATGGCGCGCCGCGGAGGGAACCGTTCGTTAGAGGCATTTTATTTTGCCTATCGTACGCTTTGTACGACCGTTTATGCTCCCTGTCACCGTCTCTGCCCTCCTTCCGCGGCTCTGCCTTCTGGGAAATCCCTGTTCGCGATTGCGTTTCGATGTCAGCCACTTTGCAAACGATAAGATGCATCGCGATTTTTCTATCGTTCGTCGTTCCTTCGTCTTCCCTTTCTCCCTTCTTCTTCTTCTTCTTCGTCTACGCCCGATGAAATTGTCACGTAAAATAAAGAAAAAGAAATCGAAGATGAAAATAACAAAAGAGAGAATTTATTTGTTAACACCTTGTTTACACTAATGACAGTGTACTTCCGAAATCTAGCCGTGACTTTCCGAGACTGAAGCTCCTACAACTCGACTTTCCATCGGATCCGATTCTTTTTCCTTTATCACCCCTCGATATCCCACTATCCACGCGTTTGTTAGGCGTCCGCGACCATTGCCACGCACGCCTTCTTCTCGAACATTCTCGAACATATCGATGGCTCATTAGGCACTTCGTCATCGGTCCATCGGTTTTGAAGTGCGTCGGTGACAAAATTATCCCCTTATCTGGTCCTGGTCTAGACATTGGCGCAATAAGGGCGGACAATCAGCGAATTGTAGCGGCATATGCGTCTTAGGACGTGTAGCTGCATATGCGCTACACGACGTCGCGATACGAAGATGCGTCACGTAGTAGTTTTGCCACTGAGGATTAACACTGTACGACGCACGTATGCAATAAACAAACTCTGGACAAAGCAATTTCGCGGCTACGTGCAATCTACCACGGCGACGAGTTCAAACCCTTGGGTACCTCGACTAATATAAATAGACGACCAAGTTCTTGTGGCAACGACCATATCCAAATCCACGTCATTCCATACTACATGACAGCGAACTACATTAGTCACCCAACTACTTGACACGACGGACCAGATCCGCAGACTAAAAAGAAAATACCCTTTAGATTGAAGCATTAGATTCAACTAGAATCAACATAATATAAGTTATTATAAACCAAGCTATTGTACCACGCCAAATGAAGTTACTTAAAATTCTCAACGAGAATTGATTGTAAATAAAAAAAAAACGGCCTTTGCACATGGTCCAACATTATACTTTCCCCATTGCGTAGGGTAATCAGGATCATCCTCTCCTTGTCCCTCCAATACCTACAAACGCAACATGTAAAAAGTGCAAGCATTCGACCACGGGACTAGTCTTGAGTCTTGCGTATAGTTTGGCCGTGGTTTGAACAACTATTTTAACTTTGTTACTTCGTTGTATCGAATAACGTCGGGCTCGACGGGCACCCTTGTCTGACCCTCCTCACAGTCCAAAATTCTCTTGTGTTGTGGTTCTTGACTCTCACTACGTTCCTTGTTTCTTCGTATATTTCTCTGATCCTTCGGATTAGTTTTTCGTTAATCCCCATTTTCCTTATTTTCTCCTCCAGTTTCTCTCTGTTTAGTCTGTCGAACGCCGCTCTCAAGTCCGCAAAGCAGGCATATAATTTGCTTCATTGTAATATTATACTTAATTATTTTCGTGAATAAAGGCCTAAAAGATTTTGTCATTAGGCGGTATTGACAAAATCCGCAATCACTTAGTTGCCAACCCAAAACATCGTCGCGTTAGTTCCTAACTATGTTAATTACATTTTTCAGAAGAACGTAATTAGCCGATCTGAACGTATGTCATGTCGGTGCAAGGAATACAAATTCGCGACAACGTTGGCTTCAACAAAACGTTCGTGCAGTTTTTCCGGTTGAATTAGAGAAGTCTGGTTGGTGTTAGCTTATCGATCAAAAACATAGTTCACCGCGGATCTTTGTAATATTCTGAGAATGTGTGCGATCGCAGTGTGGTATAACGTGCGCGCTTTCTTTCATCGGAGCTACGATGTTGTCGTTATCGAGGTTGATCGGCCGTGCTGAACGTGGTGCATCGTCGAGATTGAAATTTCCTGCACGGGGAATCTGGCAAATTTCTGTACGATCATGGCACGCTTGTTGTTGCATTGCATCTTGCCCGTACGAATCTGTTTTTCAGTTACAGTTCCTCGTTTTTTCTCTTCTTAAAAGGAGGAAAGCTTGGTACGCCGAAAATGCATTTCATCGTTGCCCAGCTTTTAAACTGACGAACAGCATGCAAAATACAAAAGCGAAATTGTATTTGAATTAACGGCGGAACGTAGTGAATTATGTAGACAATACCGAAGATATCCGCAACTAATTGCAGTCAATTTCATCTTCCGACAAAAAGCGAAACGAACTTTCTACTCGACTCGGTATGATGAAAATTCCATTTGGAAAGCGACAAATATTCGGTTCTTCCAAGTCCTCTAAGTCCGTACAAAATAATATTAAGTTCACATTAACGACAAACATGACATCGATAGTAATACGAAACTTCGTAAACTTCAAAGTCAGTCCTCTCAGTTACGAACTAGCGTGGATAGAAAAGTTAAGAACTGGAGCGACGATACGATTACGCGATTTTTAAATACCTACACTGTCGCTCGTAAGTATCTATGGTCACTTTGCACGATCTTCGCCGCCAACTATGAGTATTTTAGGACACCTATATACTCGTTTACGATCATCGAAAACTCTAACAAATTTTATCTTCTTTAATATTTTACATGGTAACGTGCATGTGACGCGAACGAACTAATCGATTTGTATAATAAACCGATAGAAAGGAAGCAGGCGCAGTCGTCGAAGCGCTCGGTTTAAATTGACATGGCAAAGTGCAACTAGCAAACTCTACTTTATGTACATTATGAAGTAGAGTACATATTATAACGTGAATTAAATGTCACACGTACATGATGAAATAATTAAAAAGAACGAGAGGAATGGAAAGCTTTTAATTCGACGTAGACGAATAGATGGATCTCGTAAACGCGGCCTTTTAAAAATTCTCCTCCGCTATACATCTACGATCCTTTTCAAGGAAAAACTCATCGATAATAAAGTGCCATTAAAACGGTAATTTTATTAGGATCTGCCCGTACGAATAATCGAACCCGTCTGAGAAACTGGATACGTTTCTATCGACGCGAAAGGACGAACGAATCAGGGACATTAAATCGAGCGATACCCTGACTCTGTTTCAGGTGGTTCTGCCACTTCGACGACGATAATTACGTGAACGTGCCACGCCTGCTGAAGCTTCTGGATAACTACAATCCACGGGAGGATTGGTACCTGGGAAGGCCCTCGATACCCGCACCCTTGGAGATCATCAGACAGGGCCCGGAACCTTCCAAGCGGCCGGTGAGTTTTTAAATTCGTCGAACAGAGACGTAGCGAGCGAGCGAGTAAGAGAAAGAGAAAGACTTCTAAATGAAACCAGTTTTCCCCTCGTGGCGTCTCGTTTTTGCGATTTCCAGAAAGACAGGGTGGGCCATCATTAACGATCGAGTACCGTCGTGTCATCGTTGGTACGCGAACAACGATTTCTGTTACCGTTCGAACCGGGCCAACCCACTTTTAACCGATGGAAATCGGCCTTCGAGTGGCTGCGATCGATCAGCCACTGTCTCGCGGATTAATCGGCCCGTTTCTTGCGGCGTACACGGTTTTCTCGTAAAACGGAAGTCGCAGGTGTTACTTGGAAGCTTGGCCGTTGGCTACGAAGTACAAACGAACCGAACGAGTTCTTGTCGATCCTTTTTGCCGCAGTGTTGCTCCGTAACCGTGGAATTTCTTCCATTTTCGTCGTGACAGTAAGTCACGGTCTCCGAGGGATCAGCTCCATCCGGCTCGGGTGACGGTCAATGGAGACGGTAATGAGCAACGTTTCGTTTTTTACCGGCGGTCGTAGGCTAGAGGCGTGAAAGTCGCTTTTTCGTACGTCGCGGGAGGTCTCTAGGACGAGCAGGATGCTGTGCAAGGCCGAGCGAAATACGAGGCGGCGAGGGGAAAGTGGAGAAAAGTTGGAGCGGAAGATTGACGCGATGCCAAGCAAATATCGGCAATTGGCGGATAAAGAGTTTAACGCGCGGAGAAATTTAAACGTCGTAAAGTCGGTGGAAATTGCGGTGAAAAGTGTTCGACGTATATGGAAATTGGGGAGTGAAAGGTTTGGCGCGACCAACGATAGGAGAAGTGGAAATATCGCGGTGAAAAATATTTTACGCGCAGGCCAATTATTGGGGAAAAATACGTCAACCGGCGAGAGATTCTGTCGCGCGTTTTCTTGCTCGGACGCGGAAGGAAGCGAATTACGGTCACTATCCTCCGGTCTTATCGAATTTATGCATCTGGGAGAAAGCAGCCGCTGCCTGTATCCGTATTTTCCAGTTTGTCAGCTTAAACCGAATGCACGGTTGTTGCCTCGCCTCGGGGGGTGAGTTTGACGAAGGAGAGAAGCGTCAGCCGGTGACTATTTTTCCATTTTCCATACCCATTTTTATTTTCCACCCTTTGTATACGTTTTCCATCTGGGAATTAGTTCGTCGAGCAAACTGGCCAAATTTCTTTCCTTGAAAAAGTTCCTTTAGGAACACGCTTATACGTGCGGTATCCTCGATTAAACCGATCAAAATTCTTTCAGTATTTTCTTCTTTTTCTCGTTTCAACAATTTTTCACACATCTCGATTCCTCTGGTTCGAGTCACGTAATACAGAATTCTTTTTATTTCTCTTTTTGTCCATTACAATATTTTTTTGCAGATCTCCAACAGGCCTCGTCGTTCGAGTCACGTAATACAGAGATCTTTTTATTTCTTTTCTCGTCCGTTTCAATAATTTTTCATAGATTTCGAGTCTACTCGTTCGAATCAACCAATTCAGAGTTTCTTTTACTATTTCTTTCTTTTCTGCTTTTCGATAAATTTTCGTATATTTTGCGGTTCTATCGGTTCGAGTCAGTCAGGAAACGTTATGTGTATTACGTTGCAAAATGATTTTACGTTGCAAGTAGCTTTTTACCGGTGGATCTCGTCGTGCCTAACCGTGAAATCGTAATTTTCTTCGCGAGAATCTTCTCGTATCAAGAAGTAGTCAATTTTCCGGGTTTTTGACACGGCTCTCTTACCTTTTCTCTTTCTCGTTCGAAGAAATTACTCGAAAAGTTTCAAACGATGCGACAGTGAGTCGCTCGCGACTGCTCTTCCACTTTGAGCTCCCGCTGCGCTTCTCGCCGCAAACCACCTGCGTTGTGTACGAATTAGTTTAGCAGCTTCTTTTTCACTGATATCGAGACTGTAATTATTTTTCAAAGCCACTGTTAAAAGAGGATAGCGTTGTCTTCTGATTTAAAACATCGCGATTAAATATCCTCTGAGTATCACGTGTACTCTGTTACACGAGATTCGTGAGAGTATCTCGAAAGAGAATCAAGAAACTTTTCCGCTTTTAAATACACGAAATATTCTCTGTTCAGAGATAATCTTTCCGAACATCGAAGAAAATTTTATTATTCTATTATTGAACACACGAAACATCCTCCATTCGAAGAGGATTTTTCCGAACGTTGAAGAAAATTTCCTACCATTGAACAAACGAAACATTCTTGATCCGAAGGAAATCTATTTGAACATGAGAGAAAGTTCTCCGTTGCAAAGTAAGTGAAATATCCTTCATTCGAAGAGAATTTTTCCGAACATTGAAGAAAATTTCCTACCGTTGAACAAACGAAATATTCTTGATTCGACGGAAATCTGTTTGAACATGGGAGAAAGTTTTCCGTCGCAAAGTAAGTGAAATATCCTCCATTCGAAGAGAATTTTTCCGAACATTGAAGAAAATTTCCTACCATTGAACAAACGAAATATTCTTCATTCGAAGGAAATCTGTTTGAACATGGAAGAAAATGGCATGCTACCAAATACGCAAGATATTCTTCGTCCGAAGGTAACTTTTTTAGTCAGCAGAGAGCACTTCCTACTACGTTGAATACTCGAAATATCTTCGATTCGACGAAAACCCTTTCGAATACCGAGGAAAATTTCCTCCCATCAACCACACGAAACAACAACAATCCGATGGAAATCTTGATGTGAAAAGTTGTAGCCACGAAACGCGCTAAACACTGTGGATTCTCGATGCGATCGCGAGAGCACGTCTCGAGTATCACGCGTCTCGAGTGGCTTGACGCTTAACTTCGAGGCACAAAGTCCTCGGCATCGCGATCAAAAATCGATAAAAGGCCTGTCTTACCAGCGGACTCACGAGATACAAGATGCGATTTGGATTCCGCGAGATATGATCGGCGGAGGTCCCGGCAGCAGACAGGTAAAACGGGGCCCGTGATCTTATCCGACGACAGTGTCATGCTATAAGCCCATTAATCCTTTTTCCCTTGCCGAAAAAAAGAAACGAGCAGCGAGGAGGAAGCGGAGGAGTGAGAGATCGAGGGGCAGGGGTTGAGAAATAAAAGGATCGACGTTGTCGGACGTTGCGGTGGCCCATCGGCGGGGCTGCGTCCTGGAAAAAACTCCTCTCCTACATTTATCATCCGCTTAGACAAATTAATAACGGCTTTGATCCGTCTGTCGCTGCCACGACGAGTCTCCGGGACGTCGCTTGTCTTCCGTGACGACCAAAGAAGGAGGAAATCGTTTGTAAGGAACAGGAAAGCGGGGCTTTCTCTTCGAATCTCGAGATGCTTGATATTTTACGTGGATAGAGCGAGTTTCGTTCGATGTAACTAGTTTTTTTTTTGTAGTTCTCTGCTTTCCGTTCCACTCTCACGCGAATGCAAGTTCCTTCCTGGACATTCGGTGGAAGAAGAAAAAAAATGAAAAGAAAGGAGAAGAAAATAATTAAGATGGTGTATCGAAGAAAAGAAAATCTTCTTCGTGGACGTTAATCCTTTTTGCAATTTTAATTCCGTTCGCTATGACTTTGATTTAGAACCACGCTTTGAAACAACATCCAGCAACGTCGAGCATATTATCGCTGTTCCATGCTTCTTGAAAAACTCGCTGTTTGCTTCAGCGTGCATCAAATGTTCCTATATATCGCAGTTGGAAATGTTTTGCAGCAACAGGAGGCGACGAGAAGCGAAAGAATAGTTGTTCGTTGTTGTTTCACAGCAGCCCTTATCAAGTGGTTAATTATCAAGTGATTGCATAAATTTGGAATTTTTCGTTCAAAATAGAGTGAAACCGGAAACGATACAATTTTGCCGTGGTAGTCAAAGAAACAGAACCTAAGCAGAGATTCCCGTAGCCTCGTAAATCCTTGTATCTTTAAGCTTTCCACGACTACATAAACCATGTCTATAGCCTATTCATTAGGTTGTCCGAAAAGTGTCTTTCTCTTACAGACACGTCTTTTACAACGACGCATCTTTATACAAACATGAAAGCTAATCTGTCAAACGTTGTGATCTTTATCTTGATAGAGCAAAATGGATCATACGTAAATAAAATAGTATAAAATAATATAAATTAAACGATATAAAATAATGTAAAACGAAAAATGTTGTGCATCCATTATTTCCTTATAAAACGAAAGAAACCTTTCGGACGATGATTTAACGTTTCGAAAGAGTCAGACCGAATTGCCTCCGATGAATCTGCCTCCGAGAGCGAATATTTGGCGGTAGTTGGTAAAACGGAAACAAAATCGAAACCGGTAGTCTTCGGATGAAACGATAAATCTTACGAGAGTCAGAGGACTCGTTTCTACCTCCGCAGTAGAGGAGATTAAACGTTTCTTATAAGGACCGATCGGAGCCATTCATCACCGTCGCGTCGGTTAGATATCTCTCTTTCTCTGATTTCTACTCGAGTCCTCGGCTCGTTAAGCCCTAATCGCTCTACTCTTTTCATTTTCCCAAACCCCACCCTTTCGACCACCGACTTTTGACCGTTCGTTGTCCGTGCCCGACCGCCAGCAATAAACGTTCGTCGTATATTTGCGTTGGTAATTAGAACGTCCATAGGATTATTTTATTCTTGAATTATGGACAAGGAAGGTACGAAGCGACCGTGGAAAAAACCGCGGTATCCGCGAGAAAGTGTGAAACGAGATTTTTTAGTAGCTTTGTATGGCAAGGTCTCGCGATAAGTCGGATTTCTCGTCTTTTAGAGACGAACAGCTTTAATATTCGATATCGTTCGACGTTTGCACTTGAATTTCTTTATCACCTTCTTCAACGTTTCAAAAATATTAACGTTCTTACGATAACTATACGAGTAACGTTACGAACGTAGACGAATATTAATCGAGTTGAATTATTCGTTTCTTATGGAAATATACCTATACTGTTCGTTAGTTAGTAAATAGTATTATTATTTATTCTTGTTTGTTATTTATGGTTT